GCACCGCAGCCCTCAGTCCATCGGCGAGTGTTGTCAGCCGGCGCTGAATGGCGGGAAGGGGTGACGGCGCAAAGCAAACACACGCGGCCATCACTCGTCCTTACATGTACAGGTGTAATTGCGAACGATCGGCAAGGGTTGCCGGCCAACTTCGAATTGCAAGGAAGCGATATTGAAGGGCCTCCGGCCAAAGCACGTTACGGCACTTTTGCTTGGACCAATCCCAAAACAAAACCTCCAAGCTCTAGCCCAAGCAGCGGCCAGCGCTCCGGCCAGGCTGGCGCAAACGTTGCCACTGGATGGTCTTCGAAATCGAAGCTGGCGGTGAGTTCGAGAGCGCAACCAGTTGGCACAGGTTGGCACTGTTCCGACGACTCGCTCGTGCTCGTGCGGGTTGCGAGTGCGGGCCCATGGGCGATCTGGTAGATCTTGACCGTCTTCTGGGAACTCAAAAACTCCTGGCAGCCTGTGGGAGGGCTTCTAGGAGGAATAGAACATGCAAAGGCAGCTGAAACGTGATCGTGACACCACTCCAGGTTGCACATCCACAGCAGGACTCGTGCCCTGAATTCGAAGCGGCTGCATGATTGCGCAGCAAAAAGGAACAGATGGATACTTCATCCAAACCCTCTCCCATCAGACGCATCAGTGAAAGATTGAGCGAGACTCCCTGCGCTCACTTCACGCATCACGAGACCCACCTCACAGGAACATGAAGACCACTGGCATTTGCACATGGACACTTCACGCTGATCGCCTCAAAGGCAGAAAGCGGCATGTTGCCCACTTCCCGCAGCACCGTGGGAACCTTTGTCGAGCTCAAGCTCTCCAACCTGCCAATTCCGCACGAGAAGTCTCAGCATAATGTTGTGTTTAGCTGCGAAGGTTGCTGTTGTGGCTCCAAGGCTCAAAGCCAAGTTTCGTCATAAACGCACTTGCAGACTCTAGCTACCGTACAAGAGCCCTATAACTCCAGACTTAATGGAAAGAGTGCCTTCAACAGCTTGCGTTTCCTTGTTGTCCGTCTTGACTGTTTGTGTCTGTGGCTTCGTTGCACTCAGGACCCTGCACCCTGCACTCTTTCTGTTGATGTGGAGTTTTCATCTTGGGGTTTCAGGTTGGTCACTCCGGCTAAACCCGTTGTAGATAGATAGCGTGCCCAAGTGTCAAGAATGTTTCCGTAGCCTACGCTTCCTGGCTGCGCAGCTAGCTGCGATGCGTTACCATCTCGTTTGATGTGTATTGATTGAATTTGTGGTACGACGGCCCTCTGTTTGTAATGCTTTGCAATGCTAGCCGATAAGATCGCGAAATAGACATTTAATGGTTTTAGACCGCGAGCATCACGACGCATTGGACTTCTCAGTATCGCGAGTTCCCAATGATCTTGAATCTTGTAGTTTCTTGCAGTTTCTGCACGCAGCAGGTTACTTCTTGAAGGTGCGAATGGACTACGGCAAGCCAAGGCAAACCCCGAATCCCCCAAGAGACGAATGCAGCCGCGACCGCGGCTTTACTTCCTGAGAGTAGACCAGCCTCACAACATGGGGAGTTCTCTCCCTTTTTCGGTCCACAAGAATAGTACCACTCCATTATAAAAAGGACCCTGTCAACAACCCTGATTTAGAGAACTACCCACATGCTAAACTTGGAGGACAGTCTGCCCCGCCCGCAGGCATGCCTAGTTCCCGACATACACAACGCAAGAATCAAATCCTTCTAAGTGCTGTATAGCTCAGGTATAGTTCAGGTTTAACATGCATTGCTGAAGAGAGAGTGGTTCTGCTACGAAGTAAGTATCCCAAGAAGCTCCCGAAAAACCTCAGCCCGCCTTCTCCAGATGAAGGCGTCGATGCGGCAAAGATTCCACCAGGATCAGATCGCTCCGGTCCATCGCAAGTTGGGGGGGTGGTTGTAAGTACCCCTAGACTTCAATCCGAAAGCCGTTAAGTTCCGTAGTTGCGGCCTCCTGCTTCGCAAGGAGAAGCACATATGTTAGTACGATAAAGGTTTGATACAGTTTTGTATAATGCTGTGTGGTGTTAGATAGTATTTGACACGCATCCGAGAATCGAAGGTCCCCAAGAATCGGCTGCGTTCAAGGTAGCATCTATTGAGGACAGTGTTCATGCCACATAACCTGTCATTCTGCATGTGGTGTTTTTCTCTTGCCTGAATGCTGTCACGATGACTCTCGGAATTGTCGCCAGATTGACGGTTTCTCATGATGGCTCGTGTTGTGACTAGAATCCTTCATTCCCTCGATTACACTGGGTGCTTGAGGTTGCTACTGTTCCTAGCTATCTCTTGATTCCACAATGACACTGTTGTTCTTATTGTCGGTGCTGTGGTTACTGTCCAAGCCGCAGCATTGTCATCAGTAATCTCGCCGTCATCTGCTTGTTTTCCTGTTTTTGGGTACTGCACTGCCAATGTTCAGCATTGGCATGGTCACGCGACTACTGACGACTGTGCCTTTCTCAAGTTCTCCCAGTTGAGAGAGGTGTGGCTTGTTCACTGGGGCCGTTTCGGCTTGGTGATGTATTGCATTGAGAGGACTGCTTAGCCGGCATCTGTTCCGACCCACAGGCAATCAGTCATAACACAAATTATGAGAGCTTCGTCACATTGCTTCTCGGCCAGCTTTCCTCTCCCTTCTTTCCTCTCCAGTTCACCCCTGCGTCCAACTCCTGAAGGGGAATGCTTGCGTTCCGGTGCTCAGGTTGGGCGACTTCTGCAGTGAACACCACCCGCCAGCTCGCTTCCTCAAAGTAAACCCTGGGTTGGTAACACATCCAAAGGCGATTGTATTGTTTTGCGGTTGTGAGTTGCTAATGCAGCCAAAGGCAACTACCCCGATCTTTTTCGAAATGTACTGTTTTTGGATTGCCCCGATTCTTTTTTTGGCATGTATTGTTGTTTGGGTTGGGTTGGGTGTTGTTAACACGGCCAATTACCCCGATCTTTTTTGGAATGTATTGTCTTGGGGATCCGTAGAACAACCAGAACAATCAAGGCGAGAGCTGGCACTGACAAGTGGACACGCTTTTGGAAGCGCTCTCATGGCCGCCTCGTCTTCACGTGCCAAAGGAGGCCCGCAGCTTCTCCCGAAAGCCCTGGGATTGACAAGGCAAAGGTTCGGGTCGCCGGGCAAGGCACTTGCAGGAGAAAGGGAGAATCGAACTCAGCCAGCAAGAAGGTGCATCAAGAAAGGCCAATACTACTCATATCCGCTTGGAGCTCATTCATGAACCTTGAAAGCTGGTGACAGAAGATGCGGATTTGGATGGGCTCTGAGGGCTCAGCTTTGATTCGCAACTGCTCCAGGACCTGATTTAGGGAGGCAAGGGCCTCTCAAGTGCAGCGGAACAATGAGCTGGCGAGTTTCAAGAACCTCTGGACTCCCGTCTACTCAAGAGATAGCTGCTACCGTCTTCAGCATCGAAAAATGTCGGGATAGGGGTGACGTTTGGATCGGCTTTCAGGCGAGACATGGCGATACGCTTCTCTGGACTCTTGTGGCTGGTCAGCCGTCCTAGGTGATGCCCCGTGGTTGTGCGAGTTGGTGCACCGCTGTGCATGTCATGGAGCTCCGATGGCACGCTGTAGCGGCATGAGGCAACACTGTTGTCGTTGTCGTCGCAACAAAAACCATAACGACCGCGACCATGACCACAACCACGACGACAGCTACTGCTCCTACTAGTACTAATTACTAGTACAGTGTGGCGGGAACTTAGGACACTTAGTCCATTTGAGCAAGATTGCAAAACAAGCTTGCAATCTTGCCCCACTTGGGACGAGGGGGCAAGATGACCATGCAATCCGGGTCATCGTGGTCTAAATGGTAAACTAGTCCGCGAGCTTCAAGCGGTGCAAGTGCTTGCTCGGCGACTAGTTTACCAATTTAGACCAAGGTTGGACAAGCTTGCTGGCAATCTTGGCCCCCCCCCCACCACCAGCGGGACAAGTGGGGCAAGATTGCAAGATTTTCCGAAAAGTTAGTGTTGAGAATTTCCGGCACGATGTACTAGTACCAGTACCACTACCAGTACCACTACCTTGTCCTACTACTACGACGCCGCCGATGCTGGGGTTGTTGGTCTCCTGCCTGCTGCTGAAGCTCCACTGGAGCACCTCGACAGTGCAAGAGCAGCCCATCAAACCCCTTGCGCTTTGGGAAAGCCAGTGCATGCTGCGGAGTTCATGGAGCCACAGTTCTTCCCTCTTACCTAGCAAGGACGAGCCCGCTTTGCAGGCTAACTCCGATGAACAGGGGGGCCGCAGATTAGAGCCTACGCCTTGCAAAAACATGTAGAGTTCATTTGGCTAAAGCCTGCCCTAAAACATCCTCGGAACTGCAACCTACGAACTTCATCTCAACTTCTTAGTTTCGTCGGCCTGGCATGGTGGCACAGGGATTCCGGACCTCTGCATGCGAGGCCTGGGCGAGGGCCGGGCAGAGACCCCGAGATGAAACTCACGGTTTGCATACATATTTATTTATATAATGCATGTATATATATATATATATATATGTATATATATATATGTGTGTGTATATATATATAACGTGACGTGAGCCCCAGCGCCTGCGCTAAGGGGTTGAGGGTTCCCGGCTTTCGGGTGTCTGCCGATCTCTGAAACGTCTTGTATCCAAAGCTCCAACAGATTCTGTACCTATCTACAGCTTCTGGGGAATTCTTCTTTGCTGAACTTGTGACATACCCTTTTTTGTCCTCAAGAGTCGGCTTCAAGAACTTACAGTCAACGGTTTTCGATGTCAAATCGAAAGTCACAAGGTGCACAAATTACGTCGGTGCTTGATGCGGGTCAATGCAGCTTACAAGCTGCGAGAACGAGCATGAAGGGCCTCGTGCCTACTATAATATACGATAACATACTATAATATACTATAATAAGATTATCGAGCGCATGGCATCTCTCCCAATGCATCTGTCTGCAAAAATGATGCCGCCAAAGCAGCCAACATGATGTGTTTAGCCCCTCCTGCTGTGGCAATGGCGGTACACTTGAACAGCTATCACAGACAGTACCAACAGGACGATAGGCTCCCACTGCGATCGGCTGCCAACAGCCCTCCCTTCCAACTCCTTCAAGCGCTTCTTTGCGACATCCTTGTAACGAGGCTCCTCCAGGTACTCCAAGCCCATAATCTCGTGCAGATCGTTTGGGGTCGTCCGTTCCGCTCTGCACCCATATAGCGCGACATGTACCTGGACGCATGTCCACTTACTCTGCAACCGCTCCACCAACACCACAGGATCTCCCAAGTGGACCATTCCATCGCGGACGATCGTGCCGAAGACACCACCGAGTCCATGCCTCTGCATATGCTGCTGTGTCCCGTCACCGTGCACATTGCTGTTTTTAGGGCAAGGACGTCTCGTGCTTGTAATTCGAATCAGTGCAGCGTTGCCAGGCGTACCGATTTCGATCAGATCTCCGACGCACCATGTCGACACAGAGGGATCGCCTGCTGCCAGAGTGACATTCTGCCCGATGTCACATGGCTTATCTGCACTGCCAGCTTGCAGGGATTTGTTGGTCGGGATGTTGCCGACTTCTCGCAGCTGCTCGGGGTGTGAAAAAAGAATGTCTCGCTGTCGGGTTTGATGGCTGGGAGTGGCCCGGCAGTCGCCGATAATCCCATGTTCTGCGGACAATGTCAAAGACTCCACACTTGAGCGAAGGTAAAAACTCAGCACCGAAGATTCGCCACCATTCTCGACGGAGGGCAGCAGCTTCGCGGTCGTGCTGCATGAAAGAACTCTGGCGGTTCCAATGCGCTGCGGCGGCATCTATGGAGAACCGGCTTCCTTGGTCCTTCGAAATGTTTGACAAAACCGATAGGTGTGTCGGACATTCAAGCGACTAGCATTGGCCTCTTGAGACTTGCTTGGCAAACATGCCCTTCACCAGCCCTTCGACGAATGCTGCTGAGAGATCCCTGAGCCAACATGCCAGCATGTGGCGGGGCTCGAAACTTCTAGGCCCTTGCCTCAAGATCTCAGGTGAGGAGCGATGTCCCGCACACTTAGCGCCAGCAGAGAAACCCCCCCGCAAGCCGAGGATCCCTGCCACCAGCACGGCCATGAAGCCCTCGGCTGCTCCCTGCCTCAGCTGCTTCCGTAAGGACCCACCTTTTAACTTTTGTGGCGGTGGGGTCACGCCTGCAATTGTGGAAAATGTCGCTGAGCTACAGGCTCGTCCATGGCCAGATGCTTGCACACCTGACACGTGTGCACACAGAGAGCGAGAGGGAGAGGGACAGAGACAGAGAGATGTCTTCTTATGCAGAACAGCCCCAAGCCCATGGAGGAATCAAGGCTTGTAGTGGTGTTGAAATTGACAGAGGCAGTGAGTGACATGATGGTGCATTGAGGTACCTGCCAATCCGGCACAGTCCAGCCACCACGAGACTCCGAAACTGTTGAAGGTGACGTCTGATCCGCCGTTCCTACCATAACACTGCGGTTTAAAGGGACCTGATTACTGGCGCAAGACAGGTTCAGAGGACTGCAAACAACTGCGCGGCAACATGAAGAGGGGCTTGTCGACTGGCATGCATACACACGTATGCATATGTAAGCTCAGATTTAGATGTAGATGTACATGCATCTGCCAATGCATGCGTGCGTGTGCATGTGTACATTGCGTACCTCGGCATGTGAGGGTGTCCAGGTGCCAGTGTATGTGCAGGTATGTATGTATGTAAGTATGTATGTATGCAGAGGCCAAAAGATTCAGGCATACAAGTACATATGTACATTTACACCTATATGTATATACATATATATATATATATATATTATGCGTATATACACGTGTGTTTGCGTGCGCAAACATAGAAGTATACACACACATACATATATATATACATATATCTACATATATCTGTGTGTGTGCGCTTGTGTGTGTACCTGCATACACACCCACACATGTGTGCCGTCTCATCCGTGCCTGTTCTAAACATGTACATATCAAGCGCATTCATGTATGCATGCATGTGTATATATATATATATATAGATAGATGTGTGTGTATGTATATGTATATGTATATGTATATGTATATGTATATGTATTCGTATTCGTATACGTATACGTATATGTATATGTATATGTATATGTATATGTATATTTTTATATGTATATGTATATGTATATGTACATGTATATGTATGTGTATCTGTATAAGTATATGAATGCATACATCCATGCATACGTACACATACCTACATACATATGTATAGATATATACGCTAGCTACATACAGAAACACACAAGCACACAAACCAATGAACACACACACACACACAAACGAACGAACAAACAAACAAAAACAAACAAACCAACGAAACACCTCAATAAATTTGTAACAAAAAAGCAACCCAACAAAGGTGTGCATGCACACTTGCACGCATGGGTGCATGTATGTATGCCTGTACATACATGCAACTGTGTATATATATATACACATACATACATACATACATACACACACACACATATATATGGTGCCCCCCCCCCATGGATCCACCGTTTGTTGTCTCCATGTACGCGCCGTCGACAACATCGTTACACAGTTGTTCTTCAAGGGCCCAGGGTAAGGGTTCGGGGTTTAGGGAACCTAACTGAAAAACCTAACTGACAAAACCTAACTGAAAAAACCCACCTGAAAAAACCTAACTGAAAAAAACCTAACTGAAAAAACCTAAAAAACCTAAATCTCGAGAGTCTTGTGACGGATATCTCGCTGAAAGACTTCCCGAGTTTAGGTTTTTTAGGTTTTTAGGTTTTTTCAGTTAGGTTTTTTCAGTTAATTTTTTTCAGTTCGGTTTTTCTGTTCAGCTCCGAACACCCTACTGGAAGCTTTTTGAAACCAAGTGCTCAGTTTACACATTCTGCGTTGTGTATTCTCGATCGGGCCATATGGATGCGGTGTTTGAGCGCGCGTCGTCGCTTCCCGACGAGATGATCGCAGAGATTTGAGACTTTACACGTCGTGTCTGAGTTCAACTTGTTTACACGATGCTGATGCTCATAATGCTTCCTGAAAAGAACACATATTCTAAAGTGAAGAACCTCAGAACCAAGCCGTGCCTACAGATCCTACAGAAAACGAAGTGTTTGTCGGCTACCTACCCGATGGCACGTGTTTGCATCTTTAAAGTTTTGTTGTACTGTTTTTCCTTATGCCACTTGTTCATGAAGCTTGTGCTTTATGTGCCGTGTTTACAAGGATCTCGAGTGCTGCGTGTTGGTGAGCGGTTTGTCAAAATGATGGCAAGTGGTGAAGAACATCTTAGTCAAGCTGAGCGTTCATTTTTTGGTTCGTGAATATTGGTGAAATCACCAACGGGTATTCAACAGGATTCATAAAGGTATAAAGGGTTTCTATAATCGATGGGTATCTTTCTGAAATTCTTTAAGATGTAAAGAAGGAGTATCGTGTAAGGTGTTCTATATGCTCTTGTTTTTGATTTCTTCATTGGGCACATAGCAGGTACAGCGCAAAGCATTCTGCTCCTGATTATCCTCCCATTAATCCGTTATCCATAAAGTATTCTACAAACCATTCTATGGTGCATTCTACGGGTATGTTATAGAATGTCCGTCAGGTTTTCTTTAGGACTTCCTATAGGGTACTCAAAGAGTATCATAGACATTGTGTATTCTGTAAGCTAGACGGTAGGGGATTGCAGATGATATTGTACAAGGCCTATAAAAGGCCAAGTATGTAAGGTTGTTTGGGGCTCTCTATCGGGTACTCCATAACGCATTGTATAAGGGATTGTACAAGGCATCAACATGAACGTAACGATTATCGTACAGAACGTGTTCTATAACGTGATGTATAGGCTATAGGGTACTCAAGAAGGTATCTATGAGGTATATAGGGGATATTCCATAACGTATTACCTAGGGTCACCTGTACGAAACTCTTTGAGGTTTGTGGCATTCTTTAGGTTATTCTCTTCGACTCCTGGATCACTCCTAGAAATCCCTTACCCAATAGGCTGCTTCTTTATGAGGGGTTCTCAGATCTTGGGCTCGTTGAAAAGTTATCTATAGGTAGTCTTACTTCCCAAATACCTATGGGGGTGTAAGAAGTTTAAACTTTCGCAACAAGATTACCTTATTAGGGGCCAAAAGTTGAAAAGTTTGATTTTGAGCCACTAAATGTTATATGGGTTCAAGGTATATATACTGTATACAACTACTGTCATGTATAGGGCCATATGGGCATTCTGGAAAGTCTTCTATAGAGTATTCCAGACGGTCTTCCATGAGGCGCACGACATATAGAGGGTACTATGTGTTCCATAAGGTATCCTTCAGGGTATTCTATGTCGTATTCTGTAAGGTATTCTAGATATTCAAAAGATATACGGGCTGTGACTGAAAGTATATGATAAGGTATTCTAGAGGCTCTAGGGTATTCAATAAGGCATGAGGGTATTCTATATCAGCGCATTCCATATGAAAGGTTTTAAGATGCATAGAGAAAGTATTCTAAAGACATCCTGCAAGATACTCTATATATTGTCTTGTATAGAGTGTCCTAGAGGGTATGTGTAATATAATGCGTGCGGGGTGTATCATATATAGGTGGTCTTGTAGACGGTATGCGACAGGATATTCGGATGGATTTCTATAAGATATAAAGGTTATGAGAGTGGAATTTTGCAAAGTATTCTTAAATGTAATCTAAAGGGTACTATATTGGTGAAATACAAGGTATTGAACCCTGGAAATATCGATAGATTTCGTGTTCACGGATATTATCTATAGTCCCGATGCGTCTTATATATGGGAGGTGTAGAAATAGGGTCCTCGTTTCATATCTATACTTGTCGTGATACGGGATGACATATCTTTGCTCTCCTGTTGCGCGTTATCTTCAGAGCCCATACTGCTGCATGCAAAAACCTACACACACACAGAACATGCATGCAACCTTGCGTTCTTTTGCAACACGAGAAGAAGCCGTACGCGAATGTATGTCGCTTGGAAAACTCAGTGTGTATATGAAGGAAATGCAGAATTTAGGATCTGCGAAATCTTTGATCACGTCGAAGCGTATTTAGTGAAGGACTTATAAAGAGAAGGGAATACGTTATAGAATATCAACTATTTCCCGTCCGGCTCTCAAACACACGAAAAAAGTGGATCCTTGAGGGGGGTAGCATATATATATATATATATATATGTGTGTGTGTGTGTGTGTGTGTGTGTGTGTGTGTGTGTGCTTGTTCATTTGCTCTATTTACCATATACCTTTGTTGCAGGCACTCGTGTTGTCAGTCAATGGTTGGTTTTGTTCTTCCGCTTATATACACGAGGGTTCGCTTGACATAACTCGGCAGTTTTGTTCTTACGACTGTCCGGCATCATCTCGCGAGGTTGATCATGAGTATGAGCATGAACATGCTGTGAGTTGAGCCCTGCAAGGGATTCACTTGCGTGTGTTGGGGGGTAAGGGAGCTCCCATTGCGGCCTCGGCCCGGGTCTCCGAGGGCCACTCAGCTGGACGCGCCAGGGTGTGAAGGATGGCTTCGGCCACCTTTGGTGCTGTCGAACACTGCGCTTCAGACATGTAGGTAGTTGTCAAAATTGGGGTCCCTGTTTGGGTGCCCTAAATATTTACACTAAGGATCCAAAAAGGGACCATAACAGTGATAACCACCCATGTGTCAGCTTCTGCTTCATGTGCCCCTGTGTACGCCCGGGACATGCGGGGTGTGTGCATTAGGAGAAAGAAGGGAGGACAAGACTTCTTAAGGCGATCTTCGTGC